GTAATGAGAGATTGATTCTTAAACTTGTTAGTAATGAAACTATTACTTTGGGCAATGCATTTAATTTCTCTAAAGCTCAGTTTTATCATCTGTAAAATGAGTATTGTTTATATATCATGATGCTTTTCTCTTTTCTTTGTGATCACTTGTACTTCCAGTCATTTCTCTGGATCTGTGCTAAGGGTTGCCAACCCCAAGAGTAAGGATAAGCTACTTAATATGCCTTGCCAATGCAAAATGAAAATATGGGATCCCTTACGCAAAACGCAGAAAGTTTTTTAAGATGGCAAAGCAAAGCATTATACCAAACACAAGGCCCTTTGGAGAGGGGGGCCCTGTTCCTCATTCATGATGTGGGCTCTGCTGTAACAGTGGTGAAGATCTCCTGGACTCAAGATTGAGGGTACTCTCCAGTATGTAATATAGCCATAGTCTCCAATCTCAATTTCTCTAATGACCTAAGAGTAAGTGCTTAGCACTTACATAATCTTGGATAAAATAACTCCTTAAGTTTCTAATGTCTTAAAAGTTTAGAATAAAAATAATGAAAAAACACCTTTCTAGAATTGTAATTATAAATGAAATTATAAATGAAAATATCCACGTATTTACTGGGAGTGTTAATAAATAATAGCACGTTTGGTTATTTTTATTATTATTTTACCTGAAATATTCCTTTTGGGCCTCCCTGGTGGCGCAAGGAGTTAAGACACAACCTATGAAGCTGGCCGCAGCCACTGCATCACGAATTCGATCTCTGGCTAGGAAGATACCCACATAGCACAGCAGACCTCTCCTGACTCGCCTGCCGCTCCCTTCAGCAGTGTATTTTAGTCAGTCCATCTGTTCTGGACCCCATTCTGTCTCTGGTGAATCCTCTCACCCCCCACACTCTGGCCTGTACCCCAGTTCTTGTATGCATAAATAAGTAAGTCTTTAAAAAAATACTCCTTTTGTGCATATGTAAGAGTTCTTTATACTCTTTCGAGACTGGGATTTCTGAACTTTCATTGTGGGGCCATTTCTAGTAGTATATTGGAACTTACAGCATGATGTTTGTGAAGTTATTTATTTTAATCTTCCTCCCAAAGTTGTATTTATGTCATGTTGAACATAAAAACAATTTCCTATCTATTGTTTCTCTCTTCCTGACTTGTGCTTACTAAGAGGTTGTCACCATGTACAATTATTATAATTTTCCTGAACTTCAGTTCTGCCAGTGATGGAAGGGTAATGAGACATAAAGGAAGTGTTAGACATATTGACATGGTGATATTAAAAGGATGATGTATTGATGGAATATTTTGTTACCAAGACTGCAGGCATCACAGATATTATTAAGTATTATTCATATTGCTTAATGCAATATAGGGTTTCTGCTACCCTCCCTGGAGAATCTTGTAATTTTTTTTTTAATGACTGTTGTTGATATTTTCCCTGTTAAGGCATTTAAACAAGCTTTACTATGATCATTTTGATGTTTGGCCATAATGATAAGAGCCAACACTCAAACTATTAAATAAAAGGATTGTGGGGTATATACATTTGAGAGTACCACTAGCCCATCAGAAAGTGCTCTGGGAATAATGTCCTGTATGGGCACATACACTTTGGTAACATCCAGTAAATTCATGCCAAGTGAGCAACATCACCTAATTATGGTACCAGATGCCTTTGGGTAGGTTTCTTCTTTGGCAGGTGATGAAGTCTGCCAATCTGACAATTGCTCTCCTGACATTTTAGCATTTGCTGTCACTTATAAGAGTTATGATATCCCTGGGCACATTTTTAATATCATGTAAGTCAAGAGTTTAGTACAATCATAGATACACATAAAGGAGATCTGAGGTATTCAAATATTAGTGGTAAAATACTTTGAAGTTGTTGGGTGACTGAAAACAGTGAGACTTTCGGTATTTAATGACTACCAAGAACAGTTCAGTTACAAATTGTAAAAGAATAATTCTTTTAAATGGTATTGTTTTCCTGGTTACTCTATTTTAAGTGCCACACTCAACCCCTAAAAATATCTCCTTGGAATCTTTTGCTAAGTCATATAGTTGGTAAATTTCCCAATTATTTAAAATGTAGTTTAACTAATAGCATAAGTACAGTGTAAAACTGTGTTCATCATTTCTTTAAGGAAAAAAATAATGAACTATGCAGACTCAGAATAAGTGCATTGTGAAAGGCATATTGACATATCCCCGGTTAAGTGGGTAGTAGGCTGCTCTTTGCCCAATTATTCATTCTAAGACTGACTCACACTTTTTTAGAGCATGTTTTTTTAAATTCTCATTTTGGACAACAAATGCCCTTGAGGATGAAATTTAATTGGAAGAATACACAATTCTGGTGTGTGTATCAAAAAGCTGGTGCTTCTCAGACCTGTGTAAACAGGCACTGCCCTGCACAGGGCAGCATTATGTTCCTTTCAGTCAAAGGCATTTCTTTGTATTTATAGAAAAAAAAATGAAGATTTAAGATGAAGTTATATGAGATGTGTGTGTGTGTATGAAAGTGGGTGCACACAAATGATTGAGAGAAGGATTTATTAGGGGATAGTGAAAGCCAGCCCAGAGAACAGGGAGAAATCTATTTGCCCCAGCAAAGAATTTAGCATGGTGACTTTCAGTGTGATTCTCAAAATGTAAACAGCCCCCTACGCCCCTCCCCCCCACCCCTCCCTCAGCCCAGAACCACATCACTTGGTCACTTTGGTAGAAATTTGAGTTCCAGAACTTCTGGATCAGAAACACTAAAATGGATCCAGCAAACTGTGTCTGATACCACTAAGGTTTAGAATCACGGTTTACAATAGAATGAAGATGTGCTGGGATGGTGAAGACGAGGCCTACTCCACAAAGACTTCTAGCTAATGACCACTTTGTGCTTTGTTTCTGAGATGTTATGATCCTCTATTATTGTATTACAGCTGTATCAGGCACTATTCCTTGTGTGATTAGGAACTCTACCTCTGTTACACTAGGTTAAAACTTTTTTGTTTTAAGCAGGGATTACTTGCCTCAAAGGAACCTTTGAATAAATCATTTCACCATAGGAAATGAAAGTTTATAAATTGTTTATAAAGAGTTTATAAAATTTAAATTTTTAAATTTTATCATTTAAATTTGATTTGCTTAATTTTGTTGAAGGATATAAAGTAGTTTCCCTATCTCAATGTTTTGGCTACCTATCTATGTTGTACTAAGGAGTTTTAGTTTTGGACATTGTATTTGGTAAAGTCAACCACAGAATTTTGAAGATCTGCCAGGAAACTTGAGGTTTCAGTACAAATTGCATGTTGCATAATTTGGGTTTTCACCCAATCTTTCATATAGTTTCACCTATCAGAGGAAGAAATGGCTATTTTGCAACTGATTTTTTAACGTATGCTACCTTATGAGATAAGTTTTGCATTTGTTATTCATTGTATTTAGAAAATGTTTTCCCACTCCTTTCTTTTTCTTTTCTGGTTCCATTTCTCCCCTCTTCTTTCTCCTTTCCTTTTTTAATTTGCTCTTTTTTTTTATACCATAAGGCCTTTGATTACTTTAAAAAAATAAACTTCTCAAGAATAAAAAATGTTAAGAACTTGAATAAAGAGTATGATAAAAAGAAAAAGAAAAGTCAAAGGTGAGTGGGAGTGTGGTTAACACACAAAGGAGAACTAAGCTGCATGACTGGCAGTTTGAGCTAGAGGGTGGGATAGTCCCAGAATGTCCTGTTGGGAACCTTGAATCTCAGAAGAGCATCTGACGTACTGAATTATAGGCTAGATGGGGTAGCTGTAATGTGCATGAGTAATTATTTCTGGATCAGTCATTACCAGCTATTTGACCTTCCAGGTTAGTTATGTCCCATTGCTGAGATTCATTTTTGTATTTAGTTTTCTTGTTTTTTTTTTTTTAATTGAGGCAACATTGGTTTATAACATTGTGTATGATCAAGAAGGATAGATTTATACCTTCTCAGATGTATGTCACCACACCACATCCACTACCAAAGTACCCATTGGTACTTTACCCTAGACCACTGGTCCCTCTACTTCATTTGCCCCCACCTCCACCGTCCCTGTTCCTCAAGTATTGTCAATTCTCTAGTCATAGTGCTAGTGTTTATTTTGACCTAGTTTTGTAAGTTCCTTTTTCCCCCTCTATATTCCACATGTATAGTATATAAGTGAATACTTACTCCTGAAGTATTTCACTTAGTATAATCTCCTACAGTTCTATCCATGTTATCCAATGGCAAGAGATCATTTTTTTTTTATAGCTGAGTAGTATTCCATTGTGTATATATACATCTTCTATATTCACTATTCTGTCAGTGGACATTTAGGTTGTTTTTATAACTTGGCTATTGTAAATAGCGCTGCAATGAACATAGGAGTATGTATCTCTCTTTAGAGACATATCTATTTAGTTCTTCTGCTAATTTTCTGATTGGGTTATTTGTTTTCTTGTTGTTGAGTTTTATGAGTTCTTTGTAGATCTTGGATATTCGCCCATTGTGAGATGTATGGTGTGCAAATATTTGCTCCCATTCAGTAGGGTATTTTTTGTACAATAAAATACTTAGACATAACATGATTTTTCTTAGAACAGCATTGAATGTGTTGAAAGGTTTGGGGGAGAATTATATTTGGTGGTTTTTACTATTCCGATCACCAAACAAGTAATGTCTATTTATTGGAGTTTCATCTTTTTGTTTCTTTTTGTTATCCTTAGCATTTTCGTACTTCATTTTTATAGAATCAGTAATGTATATACTTGTGGTGTTAATCCAGGATTTGGACATTTTTTAAATGGGGTGCTAATATATATTTCAAGAAATTTAGTCCAGCATCTTACCAGAAGTAAAGGATCCTTGTAGAGTATTTCTATGTGCTGTTTGCTATTTAAATGTGTGTGACTATTTTGAGTTTGGTTTCTCTGTCAATCACCATATGTATACTTACATGGTAGATATTTATAAAGATACATATATTTACTTTATAGGTAAAAAAATGTTAACCAGTGAAAGGGCCCATTTCTGGTCAAGAGGAAAACCAAGAAGTAGATCTGAAGGAAATTTGGTGGACATGGAAGTGCAGAAATCCCCAAGAAATTGCAATATTTCTGGTACATTAATTTATAACTTGTAATTATACTAAATCTAATGATCATCTTTTTTCATGTAAAAATTGAAATTTCCTGAAGTTATTATCAGTATAAAGTTATCCCCAAAATGCATGCTTGCCTAATTTGGTGTATTTTTTAAAAAATACATAGTTTAGCTCTTAACATATATATTTGATACTTTTCACATACTGAATATTATTGATTCCTGTGATGAATCAGAACAGAATAATGTAAAATAATGTTAAGCAATCTAGCTGTAATGAGACAAAATAGTCACTGTTTAGAAAAATATAAATTCATCGATTGTTTCTGTTCATAGTATGCTTTTGTGAAAATAAAATGTAAAACAATTATGACATAAGTATATTTAGTCTGAGTCATTTTCAAGGAAATGTGTAAAATGATTATTGTCTAAATTGTCAAACATTTATTTGTTTACAAATCTTGATGCCTTAAGATAAAATAATTTTATTTATGGTCAAAGTAAACTAGTAGAACAATTTCCTATTCCTCAAAATATAAAAATTTTACCAAATTTATCTTGAATTTTGTAGAAGTTATTTGACTGGAGATCAAAAGGCAAAATGGAAGTCTTAAATTTTTAAGTTATAATGAAAAATTAATTTTGGTTGTATCTTAGAATGTCATTTCATCTTTGTTTTGCTTTGTTTGTGTTTAAATAACAACAATGTGCAAACTCAGGTTTGCTTCTCAATTATCCAGATGCTTTCACACTTCTTGGCAATAATGCATCTAAAGCTACAAATCCATTCTGGAATGAACTGACAGCTTCTAACCCATTTTTGGATGACATAACTCAGCTAAGAAATAACCAGAAGAGAGAGAACATTTCCATCTTGAAAGAAGATCCTTTCCTTTTTTTTAGAGAAATGGAAGCTGGAAATTCTTTTGATTCCTCTGGGGATGAACTTGATGTAAGCCAGTTGCTCAGACAGACTTCCTCAAGGAAATCTGGAAAATCTAAAAGTGTTTCAGAACTTTTGGACATCTTAGATGGCAAAGCACATGCCCTTCAGAATACACATGATTCTGACCAGATACTAGATCAAGACTTAGAATGGCTTCAAAATGATAGAGAGGCTTATAAAATGGCTTGGTTAAGTCAACGCCAGCTGGCACGTTCCTGCCTTGATTTGAATACAATTAGTCAAAGTCCTGGATGGGCCCAAACACAAGTTGCGGAAACCACAATAATTTGCAAATTAAACCACCAAGGAGGGTCCGTACAATTACCTCAATCAGATATCACTGTTCATGTGCCCCAAGGTCATGTCGCTGTGGGAGAATTTCAAGAGGTATCTCTAAGAGCTTTTCTCAATCCTCCACAAATGCTTAACCATGATCTTTCATGCACTGTAAGCCCTCTGTTAGAAATCATGTTAGGCAATCTTAATACAATGGAAGCCATTTTGCTGGAGATGAAAATTGGGGCTGAAGTGAAAAAGGACCCTTTCAGTCAAGTCATGACAGAAATAGTATGTTTACACAGCTTGAATAAAGAAGGCCCTTTCAAAGTGTTAAACAACTGCTATGTTTATAAAGATACCATCCAAGTCAAGCTAATAGACTTGAATCAGGTGATGTACCTAGTGGTTGCTGCACAAGCTAAAGTAACTCAGTCACCAGTTGCAACCATTTGGGATTATATCCACAAAACCATCTCAGTTGGGATCTATGGACCCAGATATATCCATCCCAGTTTCACTACTATTTTCACAATTTGTGGACACAGTTATATGCCACAAAAGCTTACAATCTCTGATATTAAAAAAGGTAGGAAAAACACATCTCCAGTTGTGTTTCAACTATGGGGGAAGCATTCGTTCTTACTTGACAAGCCTCAAGATTTAAGTATTTCTGTTTTTCCATGTGATCCTGATTTTGAAGTAAAGAAAGAAGGACAAAGGAAAGAAATTAAACAAACGCACTTGCAAGCAGGTCAAGTAGTTCATCAGCAATTTGTATTTTCTTTAGTTGACTCTAGAAAAATGCATTTGTTTGTTTTTCGTGTTCAGGTGGACTCTTCCAATGGTAGACCAGTTACACAGTTCTTTATCACTACACCTGATCTAGCCCCAAACCTAAAAAGGCTCTCAAATCCACCAGGTGATTCACAAAAGGAAACGGAAATCAAGTCTGCCTCTATATTACCAGCAGTGCATGTTAAATATCCCACATTTCAAGAAAAAAAATTAAACTTTACTAACTATGGGGTAGCCCTAAAAACAGTGTTAAGACACAGCAAGATCGACTATTTACTTGAATATTTCAAAGGGGACACATTAGGTATTCTTGGAGAACATAAGGTAAAAGCCATTGGGCAGTCCAAAGTAAAAGAATGGTATGTGGGCATCCTGAGAGGTAAGATTGGACTTGTGCATTGCAAAAATGTCAAGGTGATTGCAAAGGAACAAGTAATGCCTACAGCATGTAGTGTTTTCACAACCAGCAATCTTCTTGGACAAATTGCCCTGCCCTTTAAAAAACTGACTTACATCTACTCAGTTGTATTGACATCGGTGTCAGAAAAAGTTTATGATTGGAAAGTTTTAGCTGATGTCCTGGGCTATTCACATCTGACCCTGGAAGATTTTGATCAAATACAGGCAGATAAAGAATCAGAAAAAGTTTCTTATGTTATAAAGAAGTTAAAGGAAGATTGCCATGAAGATAAAAACACCAAAAAATTTCTTTATGAACTTGTTGTGGTGAGTATTGCTTGATCATGTAATGTATTTGGCATAGTGAACTTTATTAACCTGACAGTATTTATAACAAAACATATGAAAAGTTAAAAAAAATCTCAGCAAGCTAAGAAAAGAAGCTACCTTATTGAAAATACAGAGCTTTTCCTACAAGATCATATTATTGGTTTTTTTAGACTTAGGATTCAGTTGTGATTTTCCTAGAAATTATGCCCCTGAAACCATCTTTTAAAGGAAGTTTGAATATTCTGTTTGTTCTAGTACACAGCAGTTAAGAGATCTCTTCCACTCTCAAATTTTTAGATAGCTCTTAGAATATCAAAGAAGCCCCAGTGACATTAAAATAATAAAAGCAAACTGAAGGAAAATCACTTGGCTCTTGCTCTAATCCCACTTTTTAGTATTTTAAAAAATTGTCATCAATGTTCTTTACTTTTTCAATTTAGTATATATTTTCTGTTTGCAATTTATCACAACCTCCCAAAATGGTATTGCTAATTCTATTTTTTATCCTCATATTTTAATGGAATTCCCAGGATCATTTTTTAAACGTAGCATTCCCACATTGTATGGCTCAGTGGAGAGTTACATAGAGAGGATAAAGAATTGTTTTGAGAATTCTGTGAGAATTCAGTATTTCATAAAGGTTTAAAAAAAATCAAGAGCATATATCTAAAAATGGCTAAATTAGGAATGTGTAAACAATAGCATGGTCACTAACAGTCCTCTAGAGTACTCTATACTTTTGGCACTATGCTCAGTACTCCATAAACATTTTTCGTTGAGTCACCATAACAATTATATGTAACAGGTACTGCCAGTATCTTCACTTTACAAATAGAGGAAACTATGTCATCAGAAGTCAGGTGACTTTTCCAAGGTTCTATAGTTGTATAGTATTAGAAATGGGATTTGGTTCCCCAAAATCCACACTTAAAATTAATATAGCTTCCTGAAACGAAGTGTTCAAAGTTAAGTGTGTGTGTGTAAAATGCTTGTGTGAATATGTATGTTGGTGAGTGTAGTAAAATATCATTCTGACTATGCAAGACTGGTGCCCTGTAAGCTAAATGGGATTACATAGACAGGTCATATATAGAAGCAAAGTGTTAAAGAAAAAAAAAGATGAAGAAAAACATTTGGAATGACATTTATTGTGTGACTTTATAAAGATTTATATATTAGCGAAATATATGTTATATATATATAAAACATCTTTATATATAAAACATCTCCTCTCCTTCAATTACTTTTATGATTCCACAATGAAATGGAGAGGGGTTAAATTTTAAAAACCCCAATATCCAGTTATTATGTGGATGAAACACTATAATATGAGGGCCATTTAGAGTCATTTAACTAATCTACCTAGTTAAAACAGTATATGAATTTTGCAATAGCTAATTACCTCTCATTGTTCATGCTCACTATGAATCCATGAATATTTGAATTGAGAATTGTTTTCCTTTTATTGAAAAAAAATAATATTGTCCAGATGGTATGAAAGTTTAAACCAGATCATACCTACAATACATTGGTGTATAATAATTGAGTATCTTTAGTGACTACTAGACAGTGCTGGTGTAGAGATATTTAAGAGAGAAGTTCCTAAAAATTCATTCTATTCATCAGTGGAAGCTTCAGGATTTCTGTGGAGAGGGGGCTTAGGCCTAGTTATATGGTTGGAGTACATGGTGTAGAATTGTAGAGGCCATCTCTTGAAACTTTACTTACATATAAATATGTATTTTCTTGGACTGACAATACTTGGGGTAACCAGAAAGAAGCTGATAAAGATTGTCCTTTTAGTCATCTCTGACCATTGAGATTGTCTGCCTTTATACACTGGATACTTGATTCTGTCTAAAGCATTTTACCATGTGGCTCATCTTTCATAATGATTCTAGGGGACTAATTGGGATGATATTTCCACTGTATTCATTTAATCAATCACTAAATAAATGTTCTTTATGATTTATCTAGAGTCCTGTACTTTGTGGAGCTTTTGTAACTCCACATTCAGATTTCATTTCCCTAAAACAAGAAACTAGGCTAAGTGCAGCAAATTTATTCAACAGTCTACTTAAACACAATTTCATGGGCCTGTTGCCTCTGCACTCTTCTCCCCAGCGTCATAACTCCTCACCATAAATGTATGGATCAGCATGTCTTTGTATAAAAATCATGGTGTCCTTTTAATGAATCCATGAGAATGAACAATATGAACTTTAATAGTTGTCTTAATTGGACATTAATTTTCACTTGCTTCATAACGATGAAGATTTTAGGTAACATTAAATGCTGAAGGGCTAAAAAACTTTTATTTTTGTTTATTTAAACAAAAAGTGATACAGATAAATCTAACTCCATATTTTAAAAATATATTCAAGTCAAAAGAGAAACTGATTTGTTTGCAACATGCTTCATTGGCAGAGGTTCAGATTTATAATTAAGGAAGAAAGTTTGATAGTTTTTCAAGTTGCATTGTTGAAAACTAAGTGTTTTATGATTTATACCTTGTGATTTATATTTAGCACATTACAGTGGTGGTGAAGGGAGAGAATTATTTTTTTTTAAGTCAAAAACAATAGATCTGTTCAAAGTTGTCAATATCTCAATGTTATGCAATAGGCATGACTCTGGAAAGATTTAAATCACATTTTGATAATGATTAGAATAGTGTTTACTAGCACTGGCACACTAACTTTCTATAGAGTTCCTGTAGCCAGTCCTCTTGTAAGAATAGGATTTATTTTTTTGTCATGAATGATCATCTCTGGCTTGATAAATTATAGACTGCTAGAGTCTCAGAGTATCTCTGAAAGTGTCTAGTTAAATGTTCTCATTTTTAAATTAATGACATTAAGAAAAATATTAGTTAAGTGGTCTACCCAAGACCCTATAATTAATCACTGAGTTAGTATTAAATTTCCCCTAATTCTGGCCTGGTTGTTTTACTATACTAGTTGAGTTTCTCTAAAAATAAATCAACTTTTTTTTTGCATTTTAGAAAATTTAAATATATGTATAGAGGAAAAAAAGGAATGCCTGTTTCTAGAATATGTAATGAAGAGTTTAATTTACAGGAAAATGCCCAAATAGGTTGATTTTAAATATGACATGTAATTGTTGCTGCAGGCTTTATTGAAGATGGATTGCCAAGGGTTAGTAGCATATCTTATCCAAGAGGCTGCTATTTTGACTTCAGCTGTCAAGATTGGAAAAAGCTGGAGGGAATTAGCTGAAAAGTTAGCACGACTCACAAAGCAACAAATGGAAGCATATGAAGTTCCTCACCAAGGAAAATCTGGAGTTGTTGCTGCGGAGGTAAGATTTCTGTTTGTCAAATTCAGCAATGAAAAATTGCAGAACAAGTAAATCAAATGTCATCAAGCCTGTACAACATATATGAATTCGTTAAAGCAGTGTCCTTGCGGGTCCACTAACTGAAGTCACTACCCCATAACCTCAAAAGATTATGTAGAATATATACACATCACTCTTTAAAGGCACTGAGAACTTCTAAAATATATTGATGCTTCTCCTATTGTATTGATATTAATATGGCCTTTGATCAACTGAGTTGACCAAATCGGATAGTGATTCAGTTAATAGACAGGGCTATAATTACTTGAGGCAGAAAACAAATCAACTTTGGAGGGAGGAAATGGGACCAAGTCAGGATAAGAGGAGAGGATATAACAATAAGTACTAATCAACCTCAGGCATAGACTTACTCATATGTGATAAGTCATATTTGGTGACTTGGGTAAGAAGGTGGGTAAGGTGGGGGTGACTGGTAATGAGAGATAGCAATATCTCAGAGTTTCATTATCTCCTTTACAGTTTTGCTTACAATAAGAGCTGTAGAAGTCAAACACAGAATAACACTTAGAACAAAGTAAATATTTGCTATACAAATATGGGTTTTATTAATATTGAGACAAATGTGTACTGTTAGGCATAACCTAAATATTTTCTCTACCATAAAGAAATGAGAGTAAAAGTTTGTTGACTTAAAAAGCAAAAATACTCCAGTGTTAAGCTCACCCTAAAATATCTGTGTCTTTCTCTCATAAGTGTAAACATTTTCAAAATATTTTAGGTAAGGGAATACCATTTTTCTGATTAAGTGATTATTTGGTAGGAGGCAGAAGCTATGTTCTCCATTTCCTTTTTTGGGCATAGAGCCGGGTATTAATTTCTTGAGTAAGTATTCTCACTTCAAAGCACCTGTGCCAGCTGGGTGGACAGGACATAACAATTTTTTTTTAAAGATTTGTTTATAGTTGTTGATTTTGATTTTTTCTTTCTTATAGTTATTCTTTTTCCTGGTCCTTTATTTAGGTTTTCTAGATTCCTGCTATGAGTGAGACCATCTGGTATTTTTCTTTTTCTTTCTGGCTTATTTCACTGAGCATGATCCCTTCCAGCTATGGGGTGGGTGGGGAAAGGTAGGATTGGGGTCAAAATAAGGGGGGTCCAATTGTATGGAGAATATAAAAATAAAAATAAAGAAATAAAAAAATAAAATTAAGTTAAAAGGAAAAAATAAAGATTTATTTATTTATGCATACAAGAGCTGGGGTACAGGCCAGAGGTTTGGGAGGTGAGAGGATTCACCAGAGACAGAGTGGAGTGGGGAACAGACAGGAGACTGACTGAAATACACTGCTGAAGGGAGCAGTGGGTGAGACAGGAGAGGTCTGCTGCGCCACGTGGTTTCTCCTTGACCGGCAGGGGATTTAACTCATGCTGCAGAGGCTGCGGATTGCTTCATAGTGCAGTGCTTAACCCCTTGCACCACCAGGGAGGCCAGGACACAACAATTTTTTCATAAAGACTCAAAAGTCAAATCAAGTTGGTTTAATACCAGCACCTGCGTGGAAGTCTTAGTGAACTGACTCCTAGGGCCTTGGAGCCTTGCTCTCCAGCAAGGATGACTCTAAACAATATTCTGTAGCCAGGAGCATCCAGGACATATTTTCCCCTCAGAGATTACATGTATCTCCATATACAAAGAAGTGCATTACAATCTGTAATTAATTTTTACTGAATGAGCTAAAAGATGAGAAACCTCTAAGAAAGAAAAAAAGAACACTATGATGGATATGTTATTTTGATATTTCAGTTAATTTTTTTTTAAATCTCTGATATTAGAATGGCTGATCCATAAAATCCACAATACTGATAACACTAAATTGCTGTGGAGGATGTGGAGCAATAGGAAATTTCATTCGTTGCTGGTGGGAATGCAAAATGGTACAGCCACTTTCGAAGGTGTTGGACAGTTTCTTTCAAACTAAATATACTCCTAACATATAACCCATTAATTGTACTCCTTGGTATTTACTCCAAGGAGTTAAAAGTTTATGTCTATACAAAAGCTTGCACATAAATGTTTATAGAAAATTCATAATTGCCAAAAGCTGAAAGCAGTCAAGATCATTTTTAGGGCCTCCCCGGTGGCGCAGCGGTTGGGCGCTGGGTTGCGAAGCTGCCCGCAGCCTCTGCAGCGCCGGTTCGATCCCTGGCTGCTCCCCGGCCACCGGAGGAGGGTCCCACATGGCGCGCAGACCTCTCCTGCCACCCGCTGCTCCCCTCAGCAGTGTACTTCGGTCCTTCTGCCTGCTCTGCTCCCCGCTCTGGCTCTGGTGAGTTCTCTCACCCTCCCGTGCTTCTGACTGTACCCAGTGCATGTATAAACAAAACAAACAAATAAATAAATAGATAAATAAAACATGCCTCTATAAAAAAAAAATGATCATTTTTAGTAGATGAATATACACACAATCTGTGGAACATCCATATAGTAGGAAATTATTTGTTAATAGAAAGAAATGATCTAACAAAATATGAAGAGACATAGAAGAGCCACAAATGCATGTTACTAAGCAAAAGCAACCAATCTAAAAGATTTCATAGACACATACTGTATGATTCCAACTATATGGCATTTTGGAAAAGATAAAAGTTTGGAGACAGTAAAAAGGTTAGTGGTTGCCAAGGATTGGGGGTAGGGGGAGATGGATAGACAGAGTACAGAAGGTTTTAGGTGATTGAAAATACTGTATGATACTATATTGATAGATACATGTCATTATATTTTGTTCAAATCCATAGTGTGTCCAACACTGAAGGTGAACCCTAAGCAACCTATGGACTTTGGGTAATTATGATGTGTCAATATAGATTTATCACTTTAGACAAATGTAGACTCCGGTGGTGGATATTAACAGTGAGATAGTTGTAGGAATATGTTGGAGCAGGGAACACATGGAAAGTATCTGTGTCCTCTTCTCACTTTGCTATAAATCTAAAAGTACTTTAACAGTGAATCTTCCAAACAATTTGTTTAATTAAAGGTAAGCTTTTTTTTTTTCCTTACTAAGACTTTCTTTTTTAAAAAAAGTTTTGTTCAGAGTTACTTATCAGAAAGTTTATTCTTTAACTTTATTAAGCAGCTGATTACTCACTATTTGTCTGCCCCCCAATCTTGGTGGAGGCCAACAAACAGTCTGCTTTTCCATTATTTACTTTTGCACAGCCTAAATCACAAATGACTAAGTCTATGCCTGAGGCTGATAAATACTCAAAAGCAGAAGGGGAAACCTCTAGGTATCTTTCCAGGGGCTATTTGTTTAATTTATTGTTATTAATTCTAACAGCTGTCACTCTGATCCATGTTCTCAAATGCTTAGAAAGTAATCCATCATATATTGGCATAAAGTCATTCCAGTAATCTCTGGGACTCTACCTGTTAGGTCCCTTAAACTGAATGGTAAATGTATGCTCATGTCCATCTCTGTGAATAATAAATTGCTGTATGATTTTTTTTTCCCAGAAAAGAGATGATTCTTAAATATGATTACAAGTCAACTAGTTGGTTTCAGAATACACTGACAGTAGTTCTGGGTAAGGTTGCAAGGGGAAAACGGCAATTGGGTCAGGGAGACAAAGTCTGGTGGTTCCTGAACTGCTTTGTTTCCTTTATCTTACTTCCTTAGAGGGCATACATTCCCAAAATTTCCCTTTATGTATGCCAATACCTACAGTTCTGCTCTTTTTCTCACTTTTCCCCTTCCTTTCAATCTCCCTTCTTTTTGTTCTGTTTTTAATATTTCTAAGTTATCTGGCATGTACTTTGTGACAGATACTGTTCCACTAATGTCACAAAGTTTAACTTATTTAATCCTTCGAACAAAAAACTTGTAGGACAAATGGCTAATATTATATAATGTTAAGGGAACTTAGTAACTTGTTTAACCATACGGAGTGAAAAAGGCATGAAACCAGATTTGGACACAGACCTTTGACTTTGGTGTCCTTGTGCTTCTCCACTACACTCTGCCCACCTAATGTGGGTCTAAGTGGCGGGGAGAATGAAGCTGTGGTTATGACTGGGTGGTTAAGCCACTGATTTCACTTTTTCTTTCTCCTTTTCTTAAGCCTTGTTATACTGCTACTAAAATTTGTCTCAACATTTTCATGAAGCCTCAAGCCAATTAAAGGATGGAAAGTATTAACAGTATCTGTCAGATTTTTCTTGAGTACTTTTGGCCATTTCATTTTCTTTTATAAGGTGAAAAAAGCCTCTCTCTAGAGACTTCTGAGTACATCACTTTTTAAATTAGCCACCTCCCTAAATTAAATTTTAAGAAATGTTACTCAACTTTTCTAATGACATTGTAATTCCCACATAAAAGCAAAATTATAAAACTTGGAATAAGATTATAAGCAAAACATGTTTTTCAAAGTATTTCTTCTAGAAAAAAAATACACTTCTGCTAAAGATGTTTAACTGTTGTAAAGGTTTTCCTGTGAAAATTCTTTGGAGTTTTTCTGAAGATATTTAGACCTTTAATTAAAAAATATAAATCAATAAAATATTAGAAATTGGTTAAAGGGGTCAAAAGGTACAAACCTCTCTTTATAAAATAACTGGGGTTGTAATATACAGCATAATGACTGGACGTAGTGATATTGTACTGCATATTTGAAAGTTGCTAAATTAGTAGATCTTAGTTCTCATCACAAGAAAAAATATTTATAATCATGTATGGTAATGAATGTTAATTAGTCTTATTGCAGTGATCATTTCACAATATGTACAAATACCATTTGCTATATACCTGAAACTAATATATTAATTATATCTCATTAAAACTTACTGGAAAAATAGTCCATTTTTAAAAATAGTTGGATTTTATAAGAGGAAATACTGGGGATTTCAGTGCTAAAATATTCCCAGACCTAGATGGAATATTCTTCACTTAACCTTCTTGGGATTATTACCACATATGACAATAATTTCCCTAGTAACTTTC